GGATCCAGGGGGGGCGCCGGCTCCGGCCCTCGCGGCTTTATTAAACCCGGCGCCCCCAAGCCCGCGGCTGCGGGGACACGGCCCGGGGGGCAGGGGGACGGACGGCACGGGCGGGGGGGCAAGGACGGAGCGGGGGACGGGGGGGGTCGGGCTGTGCAGCGGAGAAGGGAGGGGGGAGCAGGGGCAGGCAGGAGGGGCCGGGGGGTCCGGGCTGTGCAGGAGGGCAGGGAGGGGGCAGCAGGGGCAGGCAGGGGGTCTGGGCTGTGCAGGAGGGCAGCGACAGGGGCCGGGGGCAGGCGGCGTGCGGGGACGGGCAGGGCGGACGGGCGGGAAGGAGGGCAGGGCGGGGCGGGCTGTGCAGCAGGGGCCGGAGGGGGAGCGGGGCCAGGCCGGCTGGGGGGCCAGGGAGGGCGGAGGACGGAGGGGCAGGAAGGAGGGCCGGGCGGGTCGGGCTGCCCGTGCGGGGCAGGGAGGGGGCGCAGGGGACGAGCGGGTTGGGGAGGGAGGGAGGGGGGGCTAGGGGGGAGAGGGAGGGTATGTTGGTTGTTGTGGGGTTGATTGTGTGTGGGGGTTAGGGTGTGATTAAGGGGGAGGTACGAGTAAGCGGGGGGACAAGTAAAAGAAAAGAAAAGAGTAAAAGAAAAGGGAAAAAGAAAAGCAAAGCAAAAGAGCCGCGGCAGAGCGAGGCCCCGCGGCGCTGCTGCTCCTCCGCGCACTGCCCGAGCAAATGAGAGCGGGGCCGAGTTCCGGCGCTTAAATACCCCCCGCCCCGACCCGCCCCCGCCCGTGCCCGCCCCGCGCACCTGGACGGGCCCCTCCCCTCGCACCTGTGCGGGCCCTGCCCCTGCCCCGGCCCCGCCCCGGCCCCGCCCCGCCCGCGCCCCTCAAAAGCGGCAGAGCCGCGCCTGCCCCGCTGTTGGGAAGGAAACTCGTCCCGGGATGCGGCGGGAGCGATCGGCGCTCAGGGGCTGCTCCCGGCGCTGCGCCGAGCCCGGGTCACTGAGCGGGGACGGCCCCGGAGAGCGAGGCTGGCGATGGAGCTCGGCATCGGGACCGGCACCGGAGGATCGAGGTCGGCTTGGGGCTGGGAGGGGGCTCGGCATCGGGACGGGCACCGGCACCGGGATCGCCGCCCGTGCCCCGGCGCCGCGGGCGGGAGGAGCCGCTCCGGGCCGGGCGCTGGGGCCGAGCCCGGCGGGGCCGCTCGGGCCGGGGCTCTGCCGGGGCCCGGCCGGGGCAGAACGGCGGCGCTTTCCTCGGGCAGACGCGGAGCCGGGGCTGGGACCGGCCGGGGCGCGGGGACACGCCGGGCCGGCCCCGGGACCCCCCGATCCCGCCGGGCCCGCAGCGCTGCCCGCGCCCCCCGCCACGTCGGAGCTCCCGCGCTCGGGCACCCCCGAGGCCACCGCAGCCCTCCCGGGGAGAACATCGCCCGCCTGCCCCTTCCCCGCGGCCCCGGCGGGTTCCCGCCCGCAGTGTCCCCCGGGAACGAGGGCTCTGGGGCCCACCGGGGCTCCGGCCGCGGGATCGCTCCAGCCGCGGGGACCTGGGGTCGTGCCAGGGCAGGGAAAAACGAGGGCAGCCCTTTCCTCGTTCCTCCCGTGCTCCGGGACCCCCAGCAGAGCTGCCTGTCTGTCCCCGTGTCCCTGGGTCTGTCCTCAGGCGGCCCCAGGAGCCGGCACTGACCGTGCCGCGGGTCGGGCACAGGCTGCTCCCAGCTCTGCCTGCGGAACTTCGGCAATTGCCTACAGCAGTTCTTTGCCCTCCCATCCCGAAGGGGCAGCTCATCTGACACCTGCCAGGTGACACCTGAGGCTCTCCTTCCTCTCCCTCACTTTCTCGGCAACTCGCACCCTCCCGGGGCAAACCCTCCGGTTTTTAAAAATCCCATTGAAACGTTTCATCTTTAATTGCAGACGGGGAAGGTCCTGCCTGGGAGGGAAACGGCTCCAGGAGAGGAAACCAAGAAACGCTCCAACCGGACGCTGCCGCGCGAGTCAAAGGACGGAAGGACCGCAGGGAAATCGAGTCAGGAAAGGCGCTTTTATTCAATCTCTGCAGCTCTCCCTCCTCTGCACGAGCCCTTCGCAGCCCCGGGCCGCAGGGAGCGCGGCCGGCTGGGCTGTGCCCGGCTGGGGACGGGCACCAATTCATCACTGCCCTGCTCAGGGAGGTGTTCCGGCCCCGTCCGGGATTCACCCAGCGGCTGCAAAGGTGCTCGTGCGACGTCCGAGCTCGTTTCCAGGGATAAAGGAGCCAAACGAGTCCGGAGGGATCCCTCGCTCCGAGGCAAAGGCGTCGGTCGAGTGTCGCTGCCTGGTCCCGCCTGCGGGGGGGCGTCTCCTCCAGGTGAGCCTTCGGAACCCAAAATGCCGGGGGGGCTCAGGTCGGGGCCGCTTTTCGGGCCCGGAGCTGGACGGAGCCCTCGGCGGCTCCTGCTTCCCGCCAGGAACGTTCTCGGGGCTCCCTGGGCAGAACCAGCTGGGCAGGGAACGCGGGCCGGGAGGAGGCCGGAGAGACAGACAGACAGACAGAGAGCGAGCCAGCCCTGCTTGGGGTTCCTATTGCCAGGGGAGGGATGAGCTGTGCCCTGGAGCTGTGCCCTACAGCCCCCGTGCGGTGGGCACGGAGAAAGGGCTGCCCGCGGCTCCTCAGCCGGGGGCTGCTCTGCACGGGCCCCCTGAGATGCCTCACCCCGGACACGCCCCAGCGCCAGCCCAGAAGCACCCAAAGAATCCAGGCGGCGGTCGGCACGGCGGGGCTGCAGAGCAGCGCGGGCAGCCATTCCCAGGGCCCACCTCCCAGAGCTCCCCCGCGCTCCCCACGCGTGTCCCGCCCGCCCCAAATCCCTGCCCTTCCAGCCGGAGCCCAGCAGCCAGCAGCAGCCTTAAAGCCGGGGCCATGTGCCCTCAGCGGCACTAAAGCCCGAGCCAGAGCCCTCGGAGATGCCTGAAAAGAAAAGGGGATGCTCGGAGAAAGTCGGGCTCGGAGGCAATTCGCAGTTTTTCGGGGATCCAACGGCAACCGCAGAGCCCGTGGACAGCTGGAACAGGTGGGGCAGAGCCGAGGTGCCCTGAAGGCAGGGATGTGCATCCCTTTGCTCGGGGAAAAGAACTCCCCGGGGCCGCTCCGAGGCTCCCAAGGGACAGCGGCTTCCCGGCCGGAGAGACGTCCTCGCCCGTGCTCAGGGGCTGCCTCGCCCCGGGCCGGGAGCGCGTCCGGCCCCCGCCTTCTCCTGGGCCAACACATCCCCTGGAGCCCGGCCCGGGGCGGAGAAGCGGCCCAATTCCAGCCAACTCGCTCAAGTCCCCCCAGGGACACCGGCGGGGCCGGGGCAGGAGGGTTACAAACAGCAAAGTCTGTGCAACAGCAACCTGTCCTTGTCCCGATCCCGCTCAGCAAACCTGGAACCGCGGCTGCTTCCCGGCAAACCCGGCCTTAAAGCGGCAGCTCTGCAGGGGAACAGCCGGGCTCCAGGAGGCACTGGGAGGCCGTTCCAGCAGGAATTCCCCATGGAATTGCGGGCTGGAGGTAGAATTCATCCAAACCTGCAGAGCTGAGACCGGAACCCAAACCTGGGCCCCCGCAGAGAACAATCTTTGTGCTGCCCTGTCGGCCAAAGCCGCTGCACTGAGAGATCTTGGCAGCCTGAGGGAGGGCATTCTCTGCATCCCAGCAACCAGCACCTCCCAAGGGGACAATCCAAGTCCCAACCAACTCCTTTTGCCTTTCCACAGGGACAGTGACCCTGATTTGGTCCTGCTCTCCCACGGTTCATTTTGGGGGATCCATTTGTGCTGGTTTATGTTCCACGACTCCACCCACAGCTGGAGGTTTGGGGCTGTGCTTCTCTACTCCCAGCAGGTTCCCTAAGGAGCCAGATACTCCAACAATCCCCTCGTTTGACTTTCTAGGTGAATTCCACACAAGCCAGTCCCTCATTCCCTATCCAGGCTGGAAGTGCTCGTGCCCTTGGCACAGTTGGCTCTGGCTGGGCAGGAACTGAGAGCAGGACACGGGGCAGAGTGGATCAGCTGCCCAGGGAACCTCCAGGAGATGAAGCTACTGGATCCTCATTCCAATCAAGGGAACACATTCTGTCTCTGGCAGAAGCCGGGAGCCAAAGCAGATCCCTCCTGGCCAGGCTGGGGGGCAGCAGTTGGATCCACTCTGGGGGAAAGCCCCTGTGCCTGCCAGGAGCTCTGACTCTGTTTGTCCTGCAAGTTCCTGATCAGTGTCAGGGCCACGGGGAGGGATTCGGAATCCTGAGAAACCCCAAATCCTACCACAGGATTCAATCAAAGGAAGAAAGCCATTCTTGTCATAAAAAGCTTAAAAACCTGTTAAAAATTCTAGGACAGCAATACTGGGATTCCCAGGATCCTTATTAGTGCTCTTGGTTCCATTTCAATGTATCTTTAGTCCCTCAGGGAGCAGCTTGGAGAACTTCCCCTGGGATTTGGAGGCTGAGCAGGGTTTGCTTTGGATTGCCTTACACCAACTGGGGCCAATGTGGTTAAACACACTTTCCTACACAAACAGTTGCTGTATCTCCTAGAAATTACCCCAAGGTTGCAGATAAAAATGTCACCTCTGTCCCTCCTAAGTTCTCCCAGGTTTTCCCAGCTGGGAGCTGCAAGGAGGCTGTGAATTCAAAGGCAGAAAGAGAAGATCTGTCAGCAAAAGGCACAAAGAAGGGGACAGGTTTCAGAAAACATGTCTGCAATCCAAGGAATAACTCTTTCCAGTTTCCCAGGGAGAAAAACAGGAACTCACAGCCACCAAGGCCTGACAGTCCCCTGCAGCCAGAGCTCAGCACACACCCAGAGAGCCAATTCCAGCATCTAGAAGAAAAAAAAGAACAAAGTGATTTATTTTGTTTTAAAGTTCCTTTAAGTAGTTCAAAGCAAAGCAAGCCCTGCTCTGGTTTCAGTTGGGTGAACAGTGAGTGCTGGGCACAGGGCACGTCATTAATGCCCAGGGGATGGGGCTTTGTGGGGGAGGGAAGAGCAGCTGATGGAGTTGCCCAGTGCAATTCCTGCCCCAGGACTGATGGCCCAGGACAAACCCTCTGGCAGGCAGTGGGTTTGTTCCCTCTCCTGGTCAGTGCCCAGTGTGTCCCTGTGGGCAGTGCCAGGCTGGGGACAGGCACACGGAGCTGGCAGCACTCTCTGCCCCAAACAGCCTCTTTCTCTGCATCTCCCCTACTGACTGCTTCACTTGATTCCAAAATGTTCCTTCTCTCTGCTGCACATTGCCACAGATTTGATCCCCACAATTCTCCCTACCTCTCCACATCTGATCACCTCATGTATACCTAAATATGTTCATGCTCTACCCTACAGACCACCTCAAGTTTACTCTCCAAACTTTCCCCACCTGATCACCACTGACTGTCTCCTTTTCACCTCCAAATATTCATTCTCGACCCTGAAGAGTTTCTCAAGTTTTACCTGTCCACTGATGACTGCCTTAGTTTGTCCCAAAATGTTCATTCTCTCTGCCAGACACTGCCACACATTTTACCCCCAGAACCTTCCCTGGGCCCGCTGTGGTGTCCACTCCTGATTGCCTCCTCTGCACCTCTCAGGATTCATTCTGGACCCTGGAGATTGCCTCAAAGATTTCCACCCGAAATGTGCCCGCCTGGCCACCACTGATTACCTCAGTTGACCTCATGATGTCCTTTCTCTCCCCTGGAGACAAACTCGTTCAATACCCCCAAAGTCTTAACTCAAAATATTCCTTCTCTGCCCTGGACATTACCTCAAGGTTTACCCCTATAATTTTCCCCAGATGTCCACAAATGTTTACCCCAGTTTACCTCAGGATGTACATTCTCTCTGCTACAGGTGACCTCAAAGTTTACAAACAGAATTTCCCTCCCTGCCAACCACTGAATTGATCATTCCAAAGGAAATTCTCCACAGATCAGAAGAAAATACCAATAACTTGTCCTCTGTGGAAAATTAACAACTTGAGGGGTTGGACATGTCCAGTGAGGGTTCAGGGTCTGGTGGGTCCTTTATGGCTGATCCCGACCGGCCCAGGCCAAACCCAACCACCCCCATGGCTGCTCCATCCCAGACCTGGGGCAACATTCAGACAGTCTGGAAACACTCCCCTTCCCTGCTACTCCCTCCTTCCTTACACATCCAGTGCCCAGGGAGCAAATGCCAACAGCAGGAGGAGAGAAAGGTGTCCCTCTGACTTACCCCCCCCACGGGCAGCACCAGGAGCCCCCAGCCCGGCCGGCGGGGCTGCAGCCTCTTGCCTTTGGCTGCTCCCAGCCCAGGGCACTTGGCAGAGCTGGGCTGGATCAGGGCTTTGGCCTGGCCTGGAAGAGAGGAGAACAAGGCAATTAAGGGCACTGGGCAAGTCAAAGGCTCCTGCCCTTCACCCTTCTGTTCAATTGCTCACTAGAGAGTTTGAGCCATGAAAAATCCAGGGGGGACACCAAATAAAATGGGACCTTCTCCAGCATTTTCATTCCTATCTACTTCAGGCACTAAAAGGAGGCTCACCTTTCTTACTGCATTCCTTACCCCATTGGAACAGAACCCTTTTCATTCCAAACCCCCCTTGTGAGTCAGTCCATCCTCTGCCATTGGACTTTGGACAAAGCAAGAGACACCTGGGATGCTGGAGCCCAGGAAATGAGGGAGAGAAACCTGACAGGGAAAGGTTTCAAGGCACTCCAGAACTCAGAAATATGTTCATGCCTTGCCAGCCCACCCCAATTCTGTGCCACCCACCTGAGCTGGGCAGGTGAGGCCAAGGCTCCCCTCCCTCCTGCCAATCACTGTCCCAGCACACGGATCCCCGGGCTGGGCAGCACTTGGGAAAACTTGGGAAAGGCAGAAGGGAAATGGCACTGCCTGTCAGAAAACGAGTGTCTGTGAACATCCCTTCTGCACCAATGGAATCCCATCCCTCTGCTCCAAGAAACCCAGGGCAGGCAGGTCTCTCCAGCCCAGGGAGAGCAGGAAGGAGAACTGCAGGAACACAGGCAGGCACGGGCAGCTCTTGGCACTGATTCCCTGCAGACCTCTCTGCACTTGGGGCTCTGGGCACTTCAGTTCTAAGGAATGGGGGAGCAGCAGCCCAGGAATGCCCCTCAAAACCAGGGGCCTGGGCAGCTGGAGATTAGAGGAGGGGAGTTGGGAGGGGAGACACAGAGAGAGAACAGGAACGGGGGTTGTTTGGGAACAGGCTGTGTGTCCAGCAGGGAGGGGAACTGGAAACACGGGAGGCTGGAGGAAGGCAGGGGGGGAGCACTGGCCTGCCTTGGATGGATCCTTTTCCCTTGGCTCAGGGGCCTCAGCTCCACCCTCTCTGGGAGCAGCAGGGCACTGCTGCAGGGGAAGAGTTCATTTAGGCACAAGGCAGTGATGCAGCCACGGGGGCAGGGGAAGAGGGGAGAGGAACTGACACCAAAGTGACACAATCACCACTGAAAGGGACTTTATTGAGCTGCAACACAAACACCTTCCCAGCAGGCCAGGGCAGGAGGTGCCCCCAGGACCACCAGCCCAGCAGCTGGGCTGGCAGGAACACCATCTTCTCAAGGGCTGGAGCCAGGGGCTGACAGTTGGGATCCAGCCTGGGGGGCTGGAGAGCACTCAGGCATCAGGGCCAAGTCCTGCCCCCTCACTGCACACAGTTCAGCCCCAGCAGCAGGGGCATTCTCTGCCTCTCCCTCCACTATTCTTTGGGACCCAACAGCTCAAGGCTGTGGAATTTTAGCTCCCTAAATGTTTTACACAGTTGAGCTTCACAAGAAATGGGACACTTGTCATTATTCCTCATGCCTCCAGGGCTGCACTTCCAGGCTCCTTTGGGCACGAGGAACCCTCCAGACTGCTCCAAACCTTCACAGGACACTTGCTCTTTTTGCCACAGCTGGACCAGCTCAGTGTCCCTGCAGAAAGAGAAGACAATGATCCTTTCTGAAACCAGAACCTCCCCCCCTTTGCTTTCCCATTCCAGGTTTGGTTCCCTACACAACTGAGGCCCTTCCAGGCCTTGCCAAGTGGCAGCCAAGGAATCCAACCCAAGAACCTGCCAGGGAGCAACATCTGTGCCACAGCACCATCATTCCAGGCCTCTCCCTGCCAACCCTCTGCTTTTCCCAACAGCTCCAGTGCCAAGGCACAAAGGCTCCTTTTGGGAGCACCACGAGCCATCTGCTCTGTAGCACTAGAATTCCATCTCCTGGGCAAGATGGGAGAAGCAGAAAAGATAACCAGGCCCTTACAGGTGAATTGCAGCTGCTCTTGGATGAAGAGATGCCCCCAAGAAAGGTACTGAGTCAACACCTCACCAAAGACAGAGGAAAACAAAGAGCCACACTCCTTCTGTTGTGTTAAGGACTGAGGAAGTTGGACCTGTGTCTGACCAGGACATGTGCAAACCAAATGCTGGGGACTGGAACACACACCTGGCACTCCTGCAGCTCTCACAGTCACATTCCAGAGAAAACAGCCAATTGGACCCTCCCTGCTCATTTCTTAATCCCAATCCCACACTTCTTTGGCACTTGGAGCACCACTTTTATCACCCAATTCCAGTCCATTAGAGAGCTCCATGTCTAGCAGGGACAGGGACCCCTGGGATACTCTCAGCAATGCCTGAATCCATGGCAGGGACCTTGCTTTGAGCTCCCCAGGGCTGGGCACCCCGAGGATCTCCCCGAAGAATCCTTTCGGTGCGCGCTGGAGTCCTCGGGGTGCCCCAACCCGGGGGGCACCCACAGCACTGTCCCTACAGGGGCCCAAGTTGGTCCTAAACTGCAGGGGGATCTTGCCTGTGTCCCAGACTGGTCCGGGGATCTGAGGCCCTTCCCGAGAAAATCTCGGTGCCGGCGTGAAGGGCCAGAGATCCCTTGGAGCCACGGGAGAGCAGGCACAGAGTCCCTCCTGGGGGCCAATTCTGCTGCCTGAAATCAGCTCTTCAAAGAAGCCTCTAACATTCAGCGGGTGAGTTTTAGAAGCCAGGCATTCCTTGCTTACAACACCCTGCCATGATCCCAGCCCCACGGGGGTCCTGGCAATCAGCTCCCAAAGGGCACACGGAGGGGTCTCCACTGCAGCTGATATGGCAGCATTACAGGAGGGTTCGTTTCCCTTCCCTGCATTGCTGTTTCACATTCAGGACATTTTCCAACACTTATCACCATACACACCTACCCTTAGAAGGTTTCCAAGGGCCTTCCCAGGTCTTATCTGTCTGGAGCCCTCAAAGTCCTCAGTGCCTGCCTCAGGAACCTCAACACAACTCACCTGCTTACACAGGAACTTGGTGCTGCTTGGCTGATGCCTCAGTTCCTTCTTCCTTCTTTCTTCACCTCCCTTGCTTGGTCCCTTTCAATCCCTTGGCTCAGCTCTCTGCACTTTCCAGGCTCCATCCCACTGCAAAAAGGATTAGCCCTTGTTACATCTCAACACTCAGATATCATTCCACCTTTTGCCTTGACACTGGGCCATCAGGCCAGGGTCTCCTTATTTAAAGCACAGTTTGACTCCTCAGTGACAACAACTGACAGCCCTGAATCCTAACACAGGCTGAGACACAAACACAGATGGGAACTCTGAAGGATCCACTTGGTTCTGCTCACCAATCAAAAGGAGCTTTCCTAACTCAAGAATAACAGACCCCAGGTCCTTTTTCTGCAAAAAGTGCTATAAATGTGACCCCCAAGACCTGCAAAGGCCCTTCCCACTTCACCTGCAGGGCTGGCAGTGCCACCACTGGACACGGCCCCAGTGGCTGGGCAGGAACGGAGGGGCTGGGGCGTCCAATCCATCGGCCCAGGCGGCACCAGGAGTTCCTGCAGTTCCTGAGGGGAGAGCCTCAAGCCAACAAAGGATTAGGAAGAGCATTTCAAACTTCAATATGTATATCCCCTGGAAGATGGGGAGTTGGACAAGGCCTACTGGGGCAACAAGGACACACTCAAGGCTATCTATTCAAAGGATCTACCAGCACTCAAAAGCTGTCACTGTCCTTCTGTCAGGGGGAACTCAGCAAACTCTCTTTGCCAAGAGCCTCCAGCAGGATTTCCAGCTTTTGGGGCTCTCTTTTAACCATTTTTCCCATCACTGTAGCTGGGACTGTCACCTGCCCTACAGGGGGAACAGCCCACAGAGTTCACTTGCAGGGATGCCATTAACTCAAAGTCCCTTGTCAGGGGGTCACTGCACACCTTGGCCTTTCTTTGCCCTCCCCACCAAAGATGCTTCCAACAGTTCTGACACATCTGGCACACCCAGAGCTCTCCTCAGGGAAGGCTTCAGCTGCTTAAAGGCTGCCCTTGCACCATCTAGCCAAGGCAGGAAATTCTTACAGGCTCTTGGAAAAGTTGTCATAACAGTCTTACCACACATCCAGAGGGAGCAATCCAGAGTCCAGCCCGTCCCACCATTCCCAGGGAGGCAGTTCATGGGCTGGCTGGGGCTCAGGGAGGAGTCACGGGGCTTCTCTGCTTCCTTCCCACTTTACAGATTTTCTCCTGCAAAAGCAAAGGTTTCTTGGCTTTCCTTGTTCAAGGAGATGCAGCAAAGGCCATCTTTGCAATCTAATCCTGGAAACCACTCCAGGTTGTCATTAAAAGGGGTTTCTCTCAGGTCCTGCACTAATCAATCCCCTTGGCCATTGGTTTCCTTGGCAGGTTCTGGCATTCACCTTCTACAAGGAAACCAGGAGGAGCAAATTCAGCTGTTCCTGCAACCAAACCAAGCTGCCATTCTGATTTTAAAGGATACTGGCTTGGCCTTACCAGGAGAGATCCCACATCAGGGGTAATACCTACAGGTTCTGCCCTCTTCCACTCTCCTGCAGTTCCACTGGCCCACACCTCAGGAACAACTGCAGCTGCCACTTCAGTCGGGGCCTTGCTGCTGACAGGAGTTATTCCCTGCACAACAAGAGCTGCTACTTGGACACATTGAGTTGCAGCAATTACAGTGTCAATAGCCCCAGTTTTCAATTGCATTTCTGCCTCAACTTTTCCACTCAATCTCTTCCTAGTACAGGTTTGGAAAACAGACAAACTCAGGAATTACCCAATGTTTTCCCAGTTTAACCCCTGTCACACCAATCACCTTAACAGTGCCAGTCCTTCATTCTCCCTCTATTTTGTTAAGGACTGAGGAAGTTGGACCTGTGTCTGAGCAGGACATGTGCAAACCAAATGCTGGGGACTGGAACACACACCTGGCACTCCTGCAGCTCTCACCATTACAGTCAAGAGGAAACAGCCAATTGGACCCTCACTGCTCATTTCTTAATCCCAATCCCACACTTCTTTGGCACTTGGAGCACCGCTTTTATCACCCAATTCCAGCCCATTAGAGAGCTCCATGTCTAGCAGGGACAGGGACCCCTGGGATACTCTCAGCAATGCCTGAATCCATGGCAGGGACCTTGCTTTGAGCTCCCCAGGGCCGGGCACCCCGAGGATCTCCCCGAAGAATCCTTTCGGTGCGCGCTGGAGTCCTCGGGGTGCCCCAACCCGGGGGGCACCCACAGCACTGTCCCTCCAGGGGGCCAAGTTGGTCCTAAACTGCAGGGGGATCTTGCCTGTGTCCCAGACTGGTCCGGGGATCTGAGGCCCTTCCCGAGAAAATCTCGGTGCCGGCGTGAAGGGCCAGAGATCCCTTGGAGCCACGGGAGAGCAGGCACAGAGTCCCTCCTGGGGGCAATTCTGCTGCCTGAAATCAGCTCTTCAAAGAAGCCTCTAACACTCAGCGGGTGAGTTTTAGAAGCCAGGCATTCCTGGCTTACAACACCCTGCCATGATCCCAGCCCCAGGGGTGTCCTGGCAATCAGTTCCCAAAGGGCACACGGAGGGGTCTCCACTGCAGCTGATGGGAGGGGTCACCATTACAGGAGGGGTCATTTTCCTTCCCTGCATTCCTGTTCCACATTCAGGACATTCCCAACACCTGTTACCATAAACACAAACCTTTATAAGGTCTCTGAGGGGCTCCATCGGGGGTCTCTGGTGGTCACCTGTGCCTGCAGCCCCCAAAGTTCTCAGTGACCACCTTAGCAACTTCAAGACAACTCACCTGATTGTAGAGGAACTTGGTGCTGCTTGGCTGCTGCCTCAGTTCCCTTCTTCATTCTTTCTTTACTTTGCTTGCTTAGTCCCTTTAAGTTCCTTGGCTCAGCTCCATGCACTTTCTAGGGAACATCCCACTGCAAAAACTACCAGTTCTTGGTACATCTCCAAACTCAGACATCAGGGAGCGAGGCAGAAATCAACTAATCCAGGGCACTGCCTCCAAATATTGGGAAAAAAACACCAGAATATTCCATGGCCTCCCTTGGAAAATTAACCCCAAACTGCTCAGACACAAACAATACCCTGCACACTACAACAATCTGGCACTGCTGGATCAACCCAGCCAAGTCAGTTGGGAAATGACACAAGGTCAACTTTCTTCCAAGTTTCAGTTATGATACAAAAATCAGGGAGATCACAGACTCCCCCATACAGTTCAAGTCTGAGGAGAGAAAGAAACCAAAGCCATCCCCAGGGCTGCAATAGCTCAGGCTCACAAAGAGACCCAGGGGCTTCAGGTTTCTGAGGGGCTTCACTGAGGGGCTTCCCAGGTCTGCTCTGTCTGGAGCCCTCAAAGTCCTCAGGGCCTGCCTCAGGAACCTCAACACAACTCACCTGCTTACACAGGAACTTGCTGCTGCTTGGCTGATGCCTCAGTTCCTTCTTCCTTCTTTCTTCACCTCCCTTGCTTGGTCCCTTTCAATCCCTTGGCTCAGCTCTCTGCACTTTCCAGGCTCCATCCCACTGCAAAAAGGATTAGCCCTTATTACATCTCAACACTCAGATATCATTCCACCTTTTGCCTTGACACTGGGCCATCAGGCCAGGGTCTCCTTATTTAAAGCACAGTTTGA